AGCAGATCCCCTATATGATTCCGATAAGACTACGTCTAAGGTGTTGTGGAGACTTTTATCTACATTGACAATGTCACACACAAGGGTATGACTAGTTAGTCAGGTCCATATTTCATCCCCCAGCTTCATTGGATTCCCACCTCTCTCTCTCTCTCCCCTCTCCCTTAGCACCCTTTGGGGGCAAGAAGGTCCCACGATCTGGGTCTCAAGGTCTTACGGTTGGCCTGTTGTTCCCCTGAGATTCCCTCCCTTGTGCCTCCGACAAAGAGTAGCAAGCCCTCTCCTACTTCCTCGCTGGCGAAGCTCCGGCCTCCGATGCCCGACTCCTCCACCGTGTGGCCGAAGGTACAGGGGACGTGGATGAACCTCAAAGGCTCTACAAGGATCTACACCTTTTGAGTGGATTGCCGGGGAACAGGCCAAGAATGCCAGTTAAATGCAGGGACGGAGGTTCATCGCAGACAGCCGGGAAAGACGTCTACTGCAAGCCTCGACACAAGATTGTGCAAGGTTGTTGCTTGGAAGAAATGGAAAACGATGAATCAGGTTCCGTTTGCTTGAGCCTTCATACTTAACCCCTTCCCCCTTACCTCTAAACCCTGATGCCACAACCTCAGAAGGCTTTCGCCTCTGAGCTTCGAAACTCTGTCTGGGCCTTTTTTGGTCTGGAGCCCTGAACCCCGATTACGGTTTAGGCCCAAGGTTTTTGGGTGTCGGGTTTAGGGTATAGCGTTTCGGCTTCTCAAACTCTGCACACGAGCTGAAGACGATGTATGCAACAGGACAGGAAGTCACGAACCCCAGAGAGTCGACTCTACCTGCTAAAGAAGGAGCATTCCTCAAACCACCACAAGAAGCCCCCATATAAATGNNATGGATAGATAGATAGATAGGCAGATAGATAGATAGATAGATAGGCAGATAATGGGGGTGGTGGTCTCCTTCCTCCAGCTCCTCGACGAGCGCGGGGCCCCCGGCCCTCCCATGGTGGAGGTGCGAAACTTAGGAGGCCGGCCGGGGGAGCTTTCGCTCCCCCCCCTTGGGGTGAGTTGTGCGCCTTCGCGGCTGCGCGGCCTGCCCCTCTGTCGCTTACTGAAATCCACTCCATATTATGCCCTTTCGGGTTGTGCCGCAGGCTGCTCTGATTGAATTGGGCGGGACTGAGCCTGGCTTGCCTGGTTTGATGGAAGTCGACAGCGCAGCGCTGGACACGGCATGCGGTTACAGCTGGCTTGGGCACGCCTATGCTGGCCGTAGAGCTGGACTCGGCATGTTTTGGTCGTGTGTCCGTCTGCCTGGCGTAGCTGCGCTCGGGCCTTTTCTTTTCAGAGCGGCTATTGTATAGCTGTATAGCTGCCGCCTAATTTGTTTCCATTTGCCTCGTCGGTTGGTGGGGTCCCGCACCCGCCTTCCGGCACATGCATGCCTCTGGTACCCTTTGTGCCAGTTTGCCGCTCGCCTGCGGGCGAGGTGCAGGTTAACCCAGAGTCAGGTTCCTGCACGATACAGACAAAGATGATGATAGCCAGATAATTAGACAGATAGGTAGATAGGTAGACTGAGATAGGTCCACACACGCACCGAAGTTACCGCGTGCTTTTCTGCTGGAGGCCTTCGCATTAGATTCTGGGCGCTTGAAATACAGGGAATTCGTTCTGGTGGAAGGATAAGATTGGCCTTGAACCCATGCCTGGCAGCAAAAGTTAAGACAACGTATATATGCCTCTGAGAATAACATTCAGGAGCCATGTAGAAAAACATGCGTCGCCCTATTGCCCTGAGTTTCAAGGCTGCATGGTTCCTGCAAGTCCTTTTCACAAGCATATCTGCACTTTCTTGACTTTGCTGGCAGGCGTGGGTCAACAGCCCATTCCACACCACATAAACCTGGCTTCCGAAAACTCCTACCGTAACTTACGAACGTGTGACCAGATAGGTAGATAGGTAGACAGATAGATGGAAGGAGCGAGAGAGACAGAGAGAGAGAGAGGGAGATATATATATATATATATCATACACATAGATAGCTATGTAGATAGATGGATAGACAGATAGATAGATAGATAGATAGATAGATAGATAGATAGACAGACGGATAGATAGATGGATGAATGGATAGATTCGATAGATAGGTACTTAGATAGATACCTAGATAGATGCCTAGATAGATACTTAGATAGATACTTAGATAGATAGATAGATAGATAGAGATAGAGATAGAGATAGAGAGACACAGACATAGAGAGATAGAGAAATGGATGGATAGATAGATAGATAGCTACATAGATAGATAGATAGATAGATAGACAGATAAATACATAGATAGATAGATAGATAGAGAGAGAGAGAGAGACATAGAGAGATAGAGACATAGATAGATAGATAGATACATAGGGAGAGATAGATAGTGATAGATAGATAGACAGACGGACAGACAGACAGACAGAGAGAGAGAGAGAGAGATAGATAGATAAATAGATAGATAGATAGACAGATAGATAGATAGGTAGGTAGATTGCTAGCTATTAGGTAGATGGGTGGATAAGTGAATAGGTAGATAGACAGATAGATAGACAGACAGATAGATACATAGATAGATGTACAAGTATGAATGTCAATGCATGCGTGTGTGTATGTATGTATG